CGAAATATCAATGAAAAAAAGTAAAAATAAAGTGGACACTGAACACGTCACCACCATATCATATTGTGCAGGCAAGGAATATACAACTTTTTTTTCGTATGTTTAAAACCACAAAAAAAAATATTGATAATATGAAATAGGTAGAAGAAAAAAAAGATGCTAAAACAAATGCGTAGGAGAATCGAATGAATTAACTTGGTTGAAATATAGGGAATCTGAATGGCGATGAATTTAAAACATGTTGTTGTATATATTCGTCATAACACATTAAAATTATATGAAAATTAAAGTAATAATAATGATGATAAGAAGAAAAAAAAGAGTAGGAGTTTGAGTGTATGTATTTCGAATTAGCTAAAAAAAAATATTGTTATTCATCATCATCATATAGCATATGGTGATTTGAAATGATAAAATAAAAATACAGACAAAAGCTTGCCACACATAGATCCATCATGATGATATGATTAAGATGATGATATCCGAAAAACAAGAAGAGAAAAACATTTCAAATAGCTAAAAAGAGAATGTGAAGAGCTTTTGTTGAGATGAGATGCATTTTGAATTGAAAATTGAAAATTTCTATAATCATTCTGGTTTCCACCATGATGTCGTACAAAGTGAATTGATGAAACTTATCAAGGTGCAGAAAAAAAAGAAAAAATTTTCAACTCAAATTATCATCACCACACCATCATCATTTGAATATTTGCATTCTATTGTTAATTTCATTAATTTTGTTTTCGATTGTGGGTGTTTTAATGTCATCAATGGCTCAAAATACATACTAAATAGTCTTCTTGTATATATTATTGTTGAACCAAAAAAAAAAAAAAAAAAATAGAATACCAATAACCATCATCATCATCATCATGACAACATCAATACAAATGTTGAAGAAATAAAAAGAAAAATTGTCAATATCATCATCTCATATAATTTGGACAGGCAATGTGTATTGTTCCAATCGATGATATAATGATCACCACTACTACCATAACTATATCATGTGTGTGCGTGTGTTTAAATGTCATATTCATTGATTGTGTGTCTGAATCCATTATAGATAAGTTTGTTTTTTTTTACTAGCGTTTGTCCATTTTTTTGTGCAATAATATTTCATCTGGTCAACGAGAAAAATGATCATGTTGATGATTATTATTATTAGATCAGCAAAAAAAATGAAGAAAATCGGAATTACAAAAAATCGATATCATGTATATATTGATATACTATCGATCGATATTGATATTCTGTTTGTCGATTCTGTGTTTGTGTAAAAAAAAGCAACGATAACAATGATCGAGTTAGAATTGATTCTGCCCAAACTACGATAAATAGTTTCACAACTTGATCATTTTTTCGATAATTTTAATCATTATCATATGTAAATCAACAATAATTGTTTTGCAGGAAAATGAAATTTTTCTCAAGAGATTTTTTTTCTGTTGTTTTATAAAAGCTGTCACCAAAGAAAAAAACCAACCAACAAACAAACAAACAAACAAAAACGGTATGTGTCCAAATATTTTCATAAATTTCGAAGCCATAGAGATATTTTTCTTTATTTTTTCTTTTTTTCGTTGTTATTTGTTTGCTTAGATTGTCATGGTTGTTTTTTTTTGTTAATAATAATAATCAACGATAATTTATATGCATCAAATATAGCCGAAAGAAAGAAAAAAGTCAGAAAAACCCAGAAAAAACACATCATACACACACATAAACACATATACAGGAAGGAAGGCATGATCGTCATTCATTGTCATCATCATTATTATTATTATTATTTATTTCTGAAGTCAATTATGATGATGATGTGGCCAAATTTCAATGTTAAACATATATGATATACATGATTTTGACATAGAATCCATTATGTTCATTCAGCTTTTTTTTATAACATTCAATGATGAATTTGGACATCCACCACACACACACACACACACACACACACACACACCAAACATGAGTTTCCCGACATTGGATCCGACTTGTTTATTTGTCAACTGTTATTATTATTATTATTATTATCCATCATTCAAAACAACAGAAAAAAAAATACCGAATGACAATCATCATCATAAAATAAACAACTATAAACTGGAAATAAAAGCCAAGATCAAAGAGAAGATGTTTAGATATGAGCCATTCATAACACACACACACACACACACACACAACGACAATAACTGATAATGATAATCAGAATGCCTGTAAAAATATAGAATTTAAACCAAAAAATATATTTATCTTTTTCTTTCTGTACATGTGGAGCTTTTCCACTGGTCGTTCACTAGCAACTATTGTGTGTGTGTGTATGATCTCCACAACAACGTGAAAAAGGAATAGTGGGCCAACATCAAAAGATGTTTCAGACCGTTTCAGAAGGAAAGAAAAAAATGTCCGACAATATTTTCTTTTTCTCCTTTTTTTTTGGTTGAATGGCAGAGTTTGTGGGTGTGTTATTTTTGTATTTTCAATGCTGCTGCTATTAGGAATCGTAACATATAACATCTATAAAATGATGAAATAAAATGTGTAAGGTTTAAATGTCACTCGGGTATATTCATTTGAATTTTTTCCATTCATTCGTTCGGAATTTTTGAATATGTGACCAGAACCTGACAAAAATGTCGTACAAATGACGTGTTTACACGCCATTTTACTATAGTAATTTTTTTTTCACTGATATGATTCATTCCATTTTAGGTTCCGTTCTCAGTGTTCATCATCTTCATAATAATAGTTTGCCATATCTAACAGACATCACACACACATACATACATACAATACATACAGCATATATCGAATGTTGAAACTTCGTATACACAAAACACACACATTGGATAACAACCACCACCAAATATATGGAACAAAACATATAAAACGATATTGTAGAGCATAGTAAAATAGAAATGAAGAGGCAAGACAAAAAACTAACAAAGAAAAAAACTAGAACAGGGCGCCATGTTCAATTTCAAAATTGTGTATAATGGAACCTCTATTTAGAATTGTGCTATATATAAATGTTGATAATGTGATTGACTGGTTTATATATATATATATATGGATATTTGGTTTCATATTATGTGTGCTTCTCTCTTTTTTTTCTCTCTCTCTCTTTTGGTTTCTCCATTTAAACAATTTCTTTCTTTCCCCAAACAATAATAATAATAATAATGATATAATATAAAACATATAACAACAATGAAAATGTAGGAAATAAATATATACGCCATTGCCACATACATATGTATATTAAATAAAAAACCAACCAGAACAAGATGATGATAATAATGTGTGTGTGTGTGTGTGTATATGTGTGAAGATGTACCACTGCCGCCTGACCAGTTCCTGGCAACCGATTTTCCATATATATACGCAGTATATGTTTATGTTGGACGACCGACACAACACACACAAATACTTACCATTATCATCAATAGACGAATGGTAAACATCAAAAAAAGAAAAAGAAATAAAAATCCTAAATAAAAAGGCAGCCATTTTACATTTGATTCATTCATTCTATTCGAATATTTTCATTGGATAACAACACAAACACCCACAGCTGTGAAAAAATTCGTGAACGAAGACTATTTTTTTTTCTCTCATTCAAATAACTGTTGTTGTTGTGCAATCCATTGTTATCAAAATTTGCTATTATTACATCCCGTTTATAAACTGACATCATTGAAGATTTACGAAATATATACATACGGAAATGTATTTGCAATGTTGCGTTTGCGTATTACGAATTATGTGAAACTAAATATTGGAATCTTCTTGATAACAACAATGATGATTCTAAAGAATCAAATTGCATCTGCGCATATATTCATTCGATTTAGTAGATTTCTGGTTCCAAAGAACCCAGGATCAATATATATATTGAACCACTATGACAGAATATCGATAACTAACCATCGCTGCTACTACTACTACTACTACTAATCATTATCAACAGAAACTGAATTCTATATCCTGTGTATGTAGAATAAATACATCGTCAATACAAATAAACAGCCGCAAAATTGTACGGACAAACAAGCGGCAGCTGTCGAACGGTTATTAGTTGGATCATCATCACTATACATTGTGTGCTGTATTGTATATTTATTATTTCATTTCATTCAAAACCAATACTACCGCTACCGTTTTAATCAAAAAAAAAAAAGAATATTCTTTTAACAAGTATACATAGTGATAAGTGTGTGTGTTTGCATGTAAAATGCACCATACCAGAACCAGAAACACACGACAATCAACTAAAATGAAATGAACCTGAACCACCACCATCTCACTATCATGGTATAGACCCAAAAGCGAGAAAAAAATTTGAACATTTCACGACGACGACGTATACCGTCGACAACGTATAACGAAATTGCCATATCAAAGTGAAAATTTCTTTTATAAATTGTCAACCATACAAATAAACATTCGACATTTGGTTCGTAGCATCTAGTCTGATAGTGTGCACAACAACCACCATCTTCATCAAGTTTTATATTTTCCCGTTGCTTCCTTCTTCCATCCTTTCAATGAAATATTCTTTTCCAAATTCCAAAATTTTTTTTTTTTCTCTATCTCTCGCTCTTTTTTCTTTTTCGTTAATGATAATGATGTGCAATTGATCAACATCATCAACATCATCGTCAATAAGATTTAAAAGAATTATTTGGGATATTTTCTTCCTAATAATTTTGTAAATAATTTGTTCATGCGTTACGTTCATCATCGATTTCATCATGATTGACGATTGTCACATTGATGGTGGTCAAATACATATTTTATCATATAATGGTCATCAATATCAATAACTCTGACCTTATAGTATAATCTTTTTTAATCCCATTCATTTGGTTATTATTTAATCAATTTTTTTCGCAACTTGGTTGATTGATTCATTTTTTTTTTTTGAAACCATTCGGTAATTGATCATCATTCAGTTTTTCGTACGAGAAAAAGAAACTTTTCATTTCAAAAAAAAAGTTTTTTCTCATCAACTTTTCTTCATTTTTTTCTGGTTTCGTTTCAAGAATTTTTTTTTTTATTTTCATCCAAGAAAATAACTATCACATGATTCAATTAAAAAATGAATCAGTTTCTACAATCATCGAGCATCTTTACAAATAACAAAACAGGTAACCAGATTCATTAATTGATTTCTTTTTTTAAAAATATTTCTGCATTTGTGTAAAAAGTTGAAAGAAAAATCTGTCGTTAGCCATTATCATCGTCATCATTGAAATTTAGGCATTATTATTATAATCATTCATCATTATAACACATTATAAGACATGTATAGCATACATCAGGATCGACATATCGATCATCAAATAATCATTGAAGTGAATTGGATTTCATATCCTATATATATGTTGTAAATATGATGATGGCAGCATCAAGAATCGTCGATTTATTGAATGTCATGTTTTTACATTCCAGAATCAATGTTTTTTTTCTTAGCTATCGAATTTTTTTTTTATCATTTTTTTTTTTTTTTTTGTTGTTGTTATCTATACATAAAGGAATTTGTTTGATTCTTGCAAATTGATTTCTGATTTTCTGATAAATATACATGGCGCCTTCAGGGGAATTGAATTTTAATCTTGTGTAATCTTTAATCTTTTGTAGTATTGATGATTCAGTTTTTTTTACATTCAGAAATGAAAGACAATTGGAAATTCTGTTTTTTTTTCGTAATATTTATTCATCAGTTATTCTTTAATATTTTTTTTAGAAATAGATTACAGTTATACCAAAGAAAAAAACAAGTTATTCGAGCTTGTCATTGATGATGGTGATGATGGTCGGTTCTCTCTCTCTCTCATTCTCACTATTATGCCTCCGTTATGCAATTGATTGATTTTGATTTTTTTTTGTTTTCTACCACATTTGATTCGATTTTTTTTTTGTTGTTGTTGTTTTAGCCGTTGTTGCTAGTTTGGAAGAATAGAAAATGCAATTGATCGGTTTCTATGTATTTTTCTTGTTGTTTACTGTTGTTATTTTTTTTATTCTTGGAGAATCGATTCCGATTTGATGATGATCGACCAGTCAACCGATTGATTAACTTTGTGTATAGTGTAGGGCAACTTACAGTATTTTATTATCAGGGGTAAAATGCGGTTGTCGGTTTGATGATTGTTGATGAAAAAAAAACCAAATAAATCGACCAAACATTGTGTTAATGAATTGTATTTATTGTTATTGTTATTGTTTTTTTTTGTTTTGTTTTGTTTCTTTTTTAGCCATAATGAATGTTTCTGGTTTATTTCAAATGGGGAAAAAAAATTCTTGGAAATAATAATTATGATGAAGACAAAATATGGATGATGTCGGTAATTAATTTTTTTTTTCTATTATTTGATATCAATTGACAAATGTGTAAAAATTGAAAAATCCTGGCAAAATTTTTTTTTTTTGCATACCAAACAAAATAGTCCAGCTCCAAAAAAATTGCATATTTCAAATTTATGATTTTAAACTGACTATAAATACAATTCATTAACATAATGTTTGATTTGATTTTTTTTACAGTTAAAAAAAATGTATAAATCCTCATCGATTGGTATTTTTGGAAAAACAAACATCGACAGAATGGATAAAAACACCTGGCCCGAGAGTGCGTACAGTGCTTGATCTTTTGTCTCAACCAGTATTTTTTTTGGTTGACTTGAAACATTTTTTTTTCATTTCAGAAACAAAAAATTTCATTGAATGAAAAAAAAATGTTACAAGAGATAATATTTATATTTTGTTGTAAACAAACAAACAAAAATCAACCTAAAAAATTGTCCATTACAGTTATGGTGAGCAAAGCATCAAGTACATTACTCACTCGTTTTTAAATCATCAATTATTTTATCTATTCTGTAATAATTTTCATCACAAACACACCAGGTATGTACATATATTTTTACAATTATTATCAATTCATGCAATCATCTTATTGTAGTCATATTTTTTTTTTTTTTTGTTTCATCATTTCATCATCATTATATTAATAAATAGAATTTATTTTACCAAATTATTTTTCATTTTTTCATTTCTGCCGTTGTTGTTGTTGTTGTTGTCGTTGTTGTTGTTATTATTATTGTTGTTGATTCGAGACATGTACCATTCATTCATCATTCATTATGGCAGAGTGTTGCCCATTTGTAAATATGGCCATTGTAACAAAAAGTCAGTCAGTCACAAATTCATGGACACCACCCAAGTTATATAAATTATTATCGTTTTTCAGTTTCGCTTAGATAACATTTATGCATTTAAAAACACACACATACACACATATATACATACATTTTATTTAGAGATGACAAACCTTATGCCATATATATTAGTATTATTATTCTATTGTTCTTTTTTTCAGCATTCTCTCTCTCTCTCTCTCTCTCTCTCTCTCTCTCTCTCTCTCTCTCTCTCTCTCTCTCTTTCTCTTGTCATTGTTGTTGTTCAATGTTAATCATTCATCCATACCTAAATTATATATAGTAACCATAAGATTCATGGATATATGGATCCAAATATTCAAACATACATACATGATAAAAGAATTCAAGAATTCTCCAATAATGATGATGATAATGATAATAATAATAATAATAATAATGAAGATAATATGATCAGACTATACAAATCGATAAAGAGAAAATTTTCTTCAATTTTTGTATGGATATATAATTGATAATCATCAATATTATCATCATCATCATCAGGGCCGGCCCGGAAAATCGCGAGGCCTTGTGCAATGTCAACTTGAAAAACGCGAGGCCTTAAAAAAATTAAGGAATTTTCAAAAAATGATTGCTTAAAAAAAATTTGAAGCGTTAAAAATCTTGATTGTTAATTTGAAGCGCGCTAAAAAACAACTGGCAAAAAACTGCGATCGTTCATAAAGTCTGTGCAGCAATTTATGTCCGAAAAAATTTCCAAAAGCTTGTATCAATCAATTTAAATTTTTTCTAATGATCATCAAATCATCAACGTCATTCGAATCAGTAATGTCACCTCGACTCTATTTTGGTTATTTTAGATTTTATTTGGACTTTCTATAAATTGATTATAAAATGCGTTGAAAATTTCAGATTCATGAAATTAATAACATTACCAATCATTCAATCCAAGTAAAACTATTGCCATGATCGTTCAACAAAGGAAATTGTTTTAAGAATTTTTCAATCTCTATTCTGAAGTGCATTAAGATTTTGTGTCATTTTGATTCTAAATCACTATAACCAACCAACCAACCGCAACCAACGGCCAACCTGCGGCTCTTTAAAAGATTATTTGTGGCTCTCGATAAATGTATTTGAGATGGTGGAAAATTTGAGCCTCACACATGTGTGACGCTTGGTCGTGAATGGGTTAAATACGTATACGTACATTTAATCTTTTTATTTCATTTAAATCAAAAATACATACACACATATTTCACCAGTGCATAGCAAAAGAGTTGTTCTTTCAAAGATTTACTAGAATCGAGAAAATGACAAGTCCAACCTAACACGACCAGTTCAGAATTGGTTGACAATGCTTTATTGATTACTTTCCCAATTCTGAACAGGTCGTGTTAGGTTGGACATGTTATTTTCTCGATTCTGAACTGGTCGTGTTAGTTTGGACATTTGTCATTTTCTCGATTCTCAACAGGTCGTGTTAGTTTGGACATTTGTCATTTTCTCGATTCTGAACTGGTCGTGTTAGTTTGGACTTGTTATTTTCTCGATTCTGAACTGGTCGTGTTAGTTTGGACTTGTTATTTTCTCGATTTTGAACTGGTCATTTCATTTATCTTTCTTTGGCTTTCAGCTTTAAAAGGATCATCATCCTTTGGATATTTTTGCTTCGCCAACGAATAATCTTTTTCTAAGATTTCCAGTATTTCTTCTGAAAGTTGTTTTATATATTCCAATTGTTTGAATATTGATTCAACAGAATCAACTGTACTTCTTTTTTCTGGAATCGCTTATGATGTTGATTGTTGGAAATTTGTCGACACAACATTTTTTTCATTTAATTGTTTCTCCAATTTAAATAATCAATCAATCAGTCAATTTTTTGATTTGTGATTTTAGAATTTTAGACAAGAATTTAAATTATGAGGCGACTGGTGAACAAACGGGATTGTGCATACCCTATTCGTCACCAAATTTTTGGGATAAATGATCCATGATCCATTGAAAATCGGTTTAATTTGGAATTATTGATAAATCCATCTTAAAGAAGTCAGGCAATGCATTCATTATTCATTTTTCTTTGATGATTTATCACTTACTAGGTTAGATATTTAGCCATCGACATTGTTTGTTTATTTATTTTTCCTATATTGGTTCCACTACAAACAATTCGCACAACTATTAATAGATATTTGACTAGATGAAGTACATGTTTTTGATTCAGGATTACCATAATATTCAAATGTATCAAAACAAAAAACATTTTCATTTTATTAAATCATCCAAAATTCGGAACCGCGAGGCTTTTGGAACCGCGAGGCTCTTAGTACTACGAGGCTCTTGGAACTGCGAGGCTCTTAGTACTACGAGGCTCTTGGAACTGCGAGGCTTTTGGGACTGCGAAGCTTTTGGGACTGCGAGCTGTTTCCGGAACCGCGCTGCCGGAGGCAGCGCGAGGCCTTCAGTAGCGCGAGGCCTTGTGCGGTGCACAGTCTGCACAGGCGCCTGGGCCGGCCCTGATCATCATCATCATCATCATCATTATTATAATTCATTAACAATAACGAAAAAAAAATAGTAATCAATGAAAAAAAATAACGATAAAAATTCAATCATTCATCCATGGATCATTATCGATATAATTATCATTCGATTCATTCAGTTAATCATCATCATGATTGAATCTTTAAATATTATTTATATATATTTGAATCTCATATCAATTGCTTTGTTTTCTCGCATATACTCATCATATTCAAACATCATAGTTCATCATTATTCATTTATTAAATGTCATCAGACTTATGTGTGTGGTCGTCGAGAATAATCAAAGAATCTTCATTCAAAAAAAAATGTTAACCTTTGTAGATGGATTATGTCATTATATTTATGAATGAATGTGATAATTAAATAAATTTCTATATATAATTCGTAAAGGCATTTTTATTAAATAAAGTGATCATTCATTCATTTGCTATAATAATCCAAATAGTAACATCACTACAATTCTTATTGCCGGATACCAAACAAAACTGAATAAACATTGAAATTTTAGGTATACATCGTCGTCATACATGTCATATGGCTATTCATTATTGTTATTACATAGAAAACTGTGCATGCGATATTGTTGTTGACTTTTTTTTTTGTTTTGATAATAAAACCTTGAATTTAATGGGTATATATCTAACCATATGGAAACAAAAGAATAAAACACACACACACACATATAAAGAGGAAACCAAAAAAAGAAAAAAAATATAATAATAAGAACCTAGAAACAATACACCATACGATTGTAGATTCTCATTCATTTCATTTTATTTCACAGCTGTAAATTGTATATTGTCTTGACTCATTCATTCATTGTTCACATTTCATTAAATGACAATTCTACATTCGAGAAAATGAATGTAAAAAAATAAAAAATGACAGTACTAATTTTTTTTCCATTTTAGTGTCAGGTCAGATAATAATAATAATTATATTACAACATTTTATTTAAAAAAAAAATTGTCGCACAAATGTTCTTTCCGCTAGTACGGATAATATGCATCATACAAAACATATTGAGAAATAAGTTGAGAAAAAAAAACAGAAAGAATTTTTCCTGGCCATTAATTCTTAGGGAATTTCTTTCTTTGTCTGCATCACACACACAAATAAAGGCATCTTTCTTTTCATTTTGCATATGTGCTTTTTACTAATATTATTATTACTACTACTACTGCTGATGCTTAGTAATAGAGAATATAAAATTTCGATTTTGAGATGTTTGTTTTTTCAAAATTTTTGGGCTTGTATTATATATATACATGATACCGATGAATAATGATGATGATGTTCACCTGTGCGCGAGTTTACCGCATTTATTTTTGGCTAACTATTTCAGCTATATTTGGATAAATAGAGAATTTATATAGTTATATATATTTGAAACAAAACCAGCAAAAAAAAAATCATCTGGTAATAAGAATGATCATTTGAAAAGTCTGAAACCTAGAAAAAAAAATTAAGTAAACATCCATCATTCAATCATACATTCTTCATTTCAATTGATGATGATTCGTTCTCTGGATCAATTTTGATGACATTTCTTCTCCACTCCATCGTTGTTGTTGTTGACATGGTGATAATAATATTTTCATTTTGCAAAAAAAAAATTATTAGTTTTTTTCTAGCTCTAGCTGGAAATAAATTTTGTGGAAAAAAAAACGCTCGGGTTATCAAAAAAAAAATTCACATGAATGAAAATAACACGAAATCCAAAGGGAAAAAATTTTTCACATACAGTAAAATAAAAAAAAATGAAATAAATGTTCCCATTATATATAATAAACGACGTAAATAAAATGTGAAATCAAAGTCAGGAGAGCAAAAAAAAATCCCATCAATCCGTTTAGAACAAATTTTCAATGTGAATGTGGAAATTGAATGGAAAGAAAATACTTTTTTTTTATTACCCGATCACAATCAAAAACAAACTCGACAACAGATTAAAATGGATGGACTTTATACAACTATCGTTTAGATTCATTTAGGATCGATTTTATTTAAAATGCCGAAATGTTAATGCAAGGGCGTATTAGGCCAAAAAAAACCAGATCAGGCCAGCAACCAAAACAAAAAAAAAACAAAAGAAGAAAAAAAAATAAATAAAGTGATAATGGAAATAAACCAAAAAAAAAAAACAAAAACTGACAATAAAAATGCCAAATACATTTGTTAAATATTATTGTATTGTTTGGATTGCTATTGGCCAATCGATTCGAATCGAATCAAATTTATTTCAAATCTTTGCTTTTCATTATTCTCAACAGCATTGATTTTTTTTCCTGACTTTGTTGTTTTGCTTTTTCTTTTCTTATTATTATTATTATTATTATCAACAGAATAGAATCAATCACTCAATCTAAACTAACAAATATTTGTTCGTACATACATTCACTATTCATTGATTTAATAATTCCCAAGTGGAATTTTGGTTATTCACATAGCATCAATTCCCCAGAAGAAAAAAAAACAAAAACCATCAAAATGAACTAAACAAACTGTATTATGAAAACAATAACAGTTCAGTAAAACAAAACAAAACAATTCTGTTAGAATGTCAGCAAACTAAAAGCTCATCATCATCAAAGATGATGATCTCCTTTTTTTCTTCTTCTTCTTCTTCTGCTTACAGATCAACATTCAATGATGATAATGATAATGATAATGATGACAACAAACCAAAAAAAGAGATTTTCCTTCATTTAAATAATACATTTTCTTTTCTCTGAGTGTGTGTGTGTGTGTATTTTTTTCCTTATTGAATAAAATCAATTTCAAAGCGTTGAAAGGTGACCTATTGTTTTGTTTTCTATTTATACTGGAAAAAGTCTCTTTCTTTTGTTTTGTCTTGTTTTTGTTTTGTTGAAATTGATAATGATTTCACTTCCCATTCATTCAATTTATTATTCATTCAATCTAATGTGATGCAATGAGTTTTATTGTTGTTGTAACCACCCTTACAAAAAAAAGGGTGGATGGTAATTTTGTTCAAATTTTTCAAATTTGATTTTTGTTTTTTGTATTCAAAACTATTCTATTATAGTAGTAGTATAATTTTTTTTTAGTTCAATAATAAATCAATCAATCAATCTAGTTTTCTAAACTTGAAATTTATTAATTGAAAAAAAAACAATGTCATCATCATTATCAATTAATCTCTCATTTGAGACAGATGATGATGATGATGACGTTTTGTGTTTCAAAAGCTAGATAATTGAATTATCAAATTCAATGAATAAATTTCTTTTATGTGTGTGTTTTTTTTTGATTTCATTATCATGTCATTCCACCTGAACAATTGTCAAAAAGAATCTTTTTTTCTCTCTTTCTCTCTTTATCAACTATTAAAGAATTCTTTTTGGTGAAATAAATGAAAAATCAAGATATTTTATCTTTTTTTACAGTGTTGTTGATTTTTTTTTTTTTTGAAAAAAAATTTCAATTTATAAAATAGAAAAAAAATATAAAAGACAAGAAGATCAATCATCAAACAGACTAGCAAACAAACAGAAATCATTGATGAATGAATTTTGAATATATGGAAGAGAGAAGAAAAATTTTCTATCACCAGCTACGCTTTTCATATTCATTCGTGCATGATTCGTGTTTCTGAACAAACAAACACCAAGAATAGTCTGGAAAAACAACAAGAACTTTCATGTTGACAACTAAAGGCAAATAATTTTTTTTTCAACAAAAAAAATTGAACAGAATGAAAAAAGATGTGAATCTCTCATGTTTAACAATGTCATTCATTTTGGCATTATATTCATTCCCATAATGTACAAAACACACACACACACATACACAATATGTGTTTGTATCGATTTGGTAATGTTGATGATGATGATGATGAACACATACAATGTTCAAATCCAAATGGATGAAAAAAAAAGTGAATGAATTCAATCGAATCGTTTTTTTTTTTGTCAAATTGAAACCAGAATGACATCCGTGCATTGATCAAAAAAAAGTGGCAGAATAAGATTTTCGGTGTGAATGAAAAAGAAAAAAAAAATGAAATTTTGAATTTGAAATCAAAAAAAGAAAAAAAATATGATTTCTCTGGTACATGCGTGCATGTTGTCATGCAATGATTATTTTATCAAGTCAAATTGATTTCAGACAAGATAGTATATTGTGTATACGATGAATGGATGAAGAAAAAACTAAAAATTCGAGTTTAAACAAACAAACAAACAAACAGAACAATCTTAGATCATATTCTACACAATAACAAATATTAACAAAGCAATGTTGCAAAAAACCATTATTATTATTATTCAATATATGGAAAAAAAATAAAATGATGCTCTATGCATGCACCAACCACCATATGGTACAAATATGAAAAAGGTGAACGATGTTGTTGTTGTTGTTGTTGTTGATTTAAACTTATTTTTAATAATAACTGGAAAGAAAGAGAGAGAGAGAGAAAAAAAAGGATATTGGATGTTATATATATATACAAACACACACCAACCAACCAACAAACACAAACAAATATCATATCATATATATTGATTATTGTTTGTGAAATTGCCCAATTTCATAAACAAACGAATAAACAAACATAACGTAATACAATTTTTTTGTTTTGTTTTCTTTTAACTAAATGAATGATGGATGTAAAGTAAAAAAAAAAAAAAAAAATGAAATGATGAAAATATCAATCCAAATATAAACAACATTCAACAAACAATGGTTGTCGATAATAATCAAAACAACATATGCGATATGTGATCAGATTGATATCAGAAAAAAAAATAACCGGTGTGTGTGTGTGTATTTGTTTAATATGTGATGTATATATGAATTTTGTTTCCATAAACAAATTTACGGTAAATTATATGTCACACACACACACACACACACACACACACATGCCAATCACTCACTATACCTATACAACAAATGAGTGAAATGCAGATGGGAAATATTTTTTTTTTTTTATTACTATAAAAGATGTCTTGTTGTTTATTTTCTTTTTCTTTCATATTTTTTTTATTCATAGAATCAAGGAAAAATGATGATGATGAATATTATAAATCAAAGATTCAAGTCAAAAGCTCAACATAAACAAACAAACGGCCATCTGTTTTGTTGTTGTTGTTGTTGTTGTGTATCGATAATGATCGGTTGTTGTAAACAAAAACAAAACAAAAACTAATGAAAATTTTTTTGAGAAAGTCATCCGGTTTTTTTTTGACATTTGTTATTTTTTTTTGTCGCAATTTTCTTTCGATTCATTATATTGCGACAAAAAAAACAAAATTTAATCATTCGAAAACAGAGTATAAAGAATCGTTCAGACAAAAAAAAGTCGATCAAATCCATTTTCAACGAGTGAATTAGAATCTGACAATTAATCCCTACCATATATATTTCCTTTTTTTTTGTTTTGGCATCCGTAACACAGACTTGTGATTTTGATCTGTTTATTTCAGTAGGAATTATGTTCCCTGGAAAAAAAAATTTTTGAAACAAAACAATCGTTGCCTTCCTTTTACCCGAGACAGACAGCAGACGAAAAACCGATCAATGCTTTCGATGGACAAAAAAAGTTTTTTTTTGTTGCCAAAAACAGAAATAATGTACTTTTTTTTCATTTCGATAATTAGAAAAAGCAAAAGGTTTTATTATTATCATAATTATTTCGAATTCGTTGGGAAATGCAGTTTTCGAGTTGGAAACGAAAATATTTTCATTTTTTTCCACTATAGTTCATCAATATCGTCGTTGTTTTTAACGAAAATGAAACAAATGGCTCAATAATACATAGGATTTATAGAATGAAAAAAAAATGAAATGAAAAAAAAATCACAATCAAATAATAATCTCTAGTAACCGGGCAATATGAATCGAATCGAATGTTTATACAAACAGAGAAATAAACCAAAAAGTCAATCTGTTCCAGTCAGTGTGTTTGTGTGTGTGTGTGTGTGTGTGGTAGGCGTTTTTCACATGATTGTTGTCATGGTGGGTGTATTGTTGAAATAATTGAAAAAAGAAGCAATATTGACAAAAACAATAAAAAAAAAATGATCATGATGATATGGCAGCAAAAAAAAATAGTTTTATTATGTATCAAACGAGAAAGGTATTCACTGAGAATCGACGAAAAAAAAAAATCCAAGCAGCAGTGATGAAGCAAGAAAATTGGTTATTAATTAATAAAAAAAAGTAGTAATATACATAACTCTATAATGAACTAGAATATATAACATGGTCTCATTGATTGCCTCTAATCATCATCATCATCATCATCATCATAGTCGTTGTGATAATTTTTTGGATGCATTTTCTAATCAAGTTTGTCAATATCTATTGTTTCATCACATTTATAAATATATAGAATGTGTTTCTAGTGTGTGTGTGTATCTACTATGTTATGATGAATATTCCGGAAGAAAAAAAAAGTTGTTTAGTTGCATTTGAATAAAAAATCATTCCAAAGAATATACACATTCACAAAAAATGAAGAAAAAATGCCCTGAATCCAAATACAAAAATAAAATTCAAAAGAAAAACAAAGAGAGAGAGAGAAATCAAATGAAAAATAATAATAGTAATAATGCCTTTGTGTGGAATGTGATGATGATGATGATGATGATGTAAAATTCGTGCACAACCAGTGTGTTTTTTTTTTTTCTTTATGTGTGTGTTTGTCATCAATGTATAGGAACACATGGAACAAATGTAATATGAAATGGAATACGAATCAAAATTCATAAAATGAAACAAATGAAATACAACTACTAGCAGCAAAGACTTAATTAAAAAAAAATGTTATGATGAATGTGTGTGTGTGTGTGTGTGTGATCATATTATATTTTTTTCTGTCCAAATCCAAAATGTTAGTTTTGAATTCAAGCAGACTGGCAGACAAAGCAGTGAAAAAATGCATACAATACACAATGATGATGATTCAAACCATATGGAACCATAATTATCATCATCATCATCATCATCACCATGGATAGAATTGAAAGAAGAATGAAAATTCAAAAGTTTTTGGTGCTTGACATATGAGACCTATTGAAAAAAAAATACAAATGTGTGTCTGTGTGTATGTTTCTCTAGTTTTCTGATGACATTTTTTTTTAGTTCTGTTGTTGACAATATATTACATACATATGTATGCCATAGGCTACAAAAAAAAATTCAAAAATTCATGTTTGTGCGTGGGTGGGTGGGTTAGGTGTTTTTTTTATTGAATAGAAACAATGTCTCCAAATGTTATGATGATGATTATAATGATAATGTTATAGATATTGTCATTGTTTTTTTTTTGTTTTTGTTTCTTGGCATTACGATTTCAAATCCATATTCATAATCATCATCACCACATGGCTGCCGATGATGAAAGATCAACACGAACCGCATTCGTTGATGATGATGATAATGATGATGTAGAATGATAACCATTACTGCTACCACCGGATGTAGTATTCTTATTATTATTATTATTGTAGATTAAATTAGTTGTAGTGGTATCCTTTTCCTGTACTGACGATGATGGTGATGTAATTGATGATGATTTTATTCGATTATTATCCATAGTTTTTTTCATTGATTTTGAATCATTTGTTTCCAATTTCCGCTGTTGTTGTGTTCTGATTGTCCACCAGATTTATTAGATTTACATCATAATATTAGGAAAGGGTCAGACAAAAAAAAATGAAAAAAAATAAGAAATATTTCATTACAATTCAATAATCATAAATCTTAACACTACTACTATCTATCTGGTCATAATAATTTTAAACAGACTAACAAATTCTTGAATTCCGGGCATAAATTCATCATGAAAATGTAGAAAAAAATCCATAGTTCATAGGAATTTTTCTTTCTTTACTTTTTTTTGAAAGACTGTAACTTACAGTAATCATCATCATCATCATCAGCATCATTGAGAAATAGAAAGTCGTTTTTAGTTACCTTTTGCTCAGAGGATTCAAACTTTAGTAATGCCAACCAAAAAAAAAAAATAAGCAACTTGCAAACATCGCACACACACACACATCATAAAACATTATGAAGTTCATCAATTAATTACGAAGAAACGAAAAAGTAAAAGAAAAAGACAACCGACCAAAAGAAAAAATATATATATTATATGTCATATGACGAATTATTATTAGGCCATTTATTAATATTAAAAGGGTGTGTATGTGTGTGTGCATTTGAGACACCAAGAATGCAAGAAAAATGAATGAAAGAAAAACCAAGTGCCAAAGATCTGAGCTAACACATACACACACACACACACACACAAACACATTTTGAATGGAAAAATTTCGTGCACCATACCATGAACATACAAGGCAACAAGGCAACAAAAAAAAACTATTACTTTACCAATTATTTTGTTTTGAGGTTGAAGACACATAATACATGTATATTCATTCCAAATTCTCATTATCAATCAACGAAATGCCAAATTAGTTTGTTTTTTTTCTATTGCATAAGTTTTTTCTTTTCAGCTTATTTCAAACTTTTTTTCATGATAGAAGAATATGGTTACCTTCTTTTTTTTCCATATTATGGTTATGATACAACATCTTAAGTTATATATACTTGACAGATACTTGAAACACTATCTGCGAAACAGTAGCCATTTAACCATTCATTTGGTACTATAGAAAGCAAAAAAAAAGATGTGTGTATCCAAAAAAAAAAAAAAAACCATAAGCCAGCTGGAATTTAGAAGCAGGTAAAAATTAGCTCAAAAACACAAATTTAGATCATTGTGATTGTTGAACAGAATAACTATTGTTGCAAATTGCAATTCTTTTGATTATTCATCATTCCATCAACAAAAAAACAAAAAGAAAAAATTTAAATTGTAACAAAACACATGATGATAAATAAGTGACATTGATGATTGTTTAAGCCTGACAATTATCATTCATTCATTCATTTCATATATTATAATTAAATACAAAAAAAATGATGTTATATTCAAAGGAGCCAAACAAACACAGTGATATTCGATTGAAACACAATGAACTTATCAATCATATAATATATGTGGAGAAGCACATACTTTTGACATTTATCATCATCATAATCATCATTTGTGTTGATAGAATTGATGATAATCAGCATTCATTTATTCAATGTTCAGCCATATGGTTAACATTATAATTTAAATAATAATAATGATGATAATCATTATGAAAGTTGAAAATTGTCAAAAAAATTGTTCAACAAAAGAAAAAACCTTTCAATCAATCAACAACACTGACATAATATTTTTTTTTTTTTTTTGGGTTTTAAAATAGAATATTTTGTTTTACAATGTGAATACAAATAAATAAATAGAAAATAAAACAAACAAGCAATCAACAAACATTGGTCATATGTGGTTTATGTATTGTGTGTGTCGATGTCGATGGTGATGGTAATCAGTGTGTGTGTGTGTAGAATCAAACATCACCAAAAATAAAGGTTAATAATTTTTTCACTTTTGGATCACACTGTAGCAATTGATGATGATTATGATTACAATATTCTTGATTATACTACAAACATTGATATCATAATGATAAATTTCGACATTTCAATGATAATAATTATAACATAATCATTTTAATTACAATATCAACCCGTTGCCCTCAATCCATCTATTTTGAGTCAAATAAAAAAAACTAGATTTTCTACATAATGTATATATGTTCACTGCACAGGTAAAGAATTTCTACATGTTATGATTACACCATCATTGTTGTTATGGCTGCATAACAAGCGGAAAATCATAATCAATCACAATCATCATGATGACGATAATGATGAAGAAAACATATGGAAACAGAAATAAATTCAAATCATAATGATAATTTAATGGTGGCAAGCAAGCACAATTAATCACATAAATCATTTCATTCATAGTAATGATCATGACAGATGATGATAAATAAGAATCGGAGAAAAAAAAAGAAAAAAAAATCAATCAACAGCTAATTAATTTTAAAGGATCGATTCAAATGAATGATATATATTTATATATCACAACTAGAATAGTGTGAGTCATCATTACTATAAACAATCATTTAATCGTGATGATGATCATCAAATTATTTTGATAATATAGATTTTTAAAGATAATAATAGATTGTGTGTGTGTGTGTGTGTAAAGATTACTAGAAGCTATAACGATAGAAAAGAATTACGTGATCCATAAGCTCTCTTTCTTTCTCTCTCTCTCTTGCACCCTCCATTAGCCGAGATTAGTGTGAGATTTCGAAATTGTTTTCTTCGTTTAGGTTTTTCGTTTTACTCTAGTTATTATTAGCTCCATTAGAGCTATGTTGTTGTTGTTGTTGTTGTTCATCGACCACCATCATCACAATATTACGGAAACGATACTATTGGCTATAATAGTTAGTTAGTTAGTTGATGATGATGATGGTGTATAAGCAAGTAAATTAAAAGTTTTTTTTTAAAGAAAAATAAAATTTTTGGCTTTCATCATTTATATATACACATGGATGTATGATGTATGATGATCAAAAACATTATAACGATAAAAGCTATAATCAAAGACTAAAAAAAAATAGATTTTTTTTCAATTTTTCCGGTTCGGGTCCCGAGCGAATCATTGGAAACTAAAAATCCAACTTTTTTGTTCATATATAGAATGTATACTGAATCCCTTTTTTCAGAATAAATGGTGGTGGTAGAAAAGAAGCCTAAACACACACACACACACACACACACACACACAAACACCATAACAACATACATTCTCTTAATTCATATCAAATTGATTTAATGGAAAAGTAATGATAAAAATTAAGCATAAAGGCAATCATCATCATCATCATCATCATCATGTGTATATGATGATGATGATGAAAAAGTAACTAAACCAAGATGAAATAAAAATAAAAGTAGACTATATCAACAAAAAACCAGACCAGTTTAAACCTGAAATTTAACAATGTATTTTTCGATTTCATAATGAACGACACACCAAACATCATAAGTATAGTGAAAGAGAATGAAAACAAACCTAACAAAACCAAATAAAAAAAAAGTAAATTGAAACTATATATATACGCCCAGTTTGAAAACAAATTCAAATCCCTGTTACAATTTCATTTATTCAAGATTTATATATCGATAAAACTTTTAGTTTTTTTTTCGTTTCATTCATCATCATTGTCACTCTGTTTAATATTTTTTCAAAAAAAATCGATCAAAATCAATGATGGGAAACATAATGAGAAGAGAATAAACATGAGCAAACAACAACAACAACAACAACGATAATAATCATCATTTACAAAGGTAAAAATATTGTCAATTGTGGTCGTCGTTATAAACTTTGTTATTGTTGATCTACTTTGTTATTGTTGTTGTTGTTCTGGGTCTTTTGAAATATTATTATGTACTACCCAAAACCAGAATAAAAAAAAAAATAAAACAGAGTTCATTTTTGTTGAGTATAAAAAAAATGGGACAAAAATCGATCATTCGATCGAAAATTATGAACTTGAATTATATATTATATTGAATCGATCATACACGAAACAATCTGGCTTAAGAATGTTAAAAAAAAGTGGAGAATTTCATCCCCTCCCCCCAAAAAAGCTTACTTTTTTATTCATTTTTTACTATTTGAAAATCATTCATTTTCTTCATATATAAAACAGTAACAGTAAAAAGAAACAAGTCATATGAATTAATAGAATTAAAAAAAATGAATGGCATGGAGAAAGAAAATAAACTAAACTAAATAAAATCTAGACTCTATAGATTGAAAAAAAATGTAAAATTTCTTTTAAAAAACAAAGAAACAATATAATTCATAATAATCGAAAACGAAATGTGTGCGTATGTGTGAGTGCATCGAACAAACATTGAATATTCAGGGAAAAAATTGAGTACAAAAACGAGACAGAATAAACAGCTAGTCTTAAAAAATAAAAGAAAAATATGAGACTATACGACGATATATGAATAACAACAACAACAACAAAAAGGATCATCATTATTTCTTCGATAATGATGGCGATGATGATGTGCCGAAAGAATGCAAAAATTTGATTTTAGCCAAAAAAAAAATGTTGCTAATCGATTTTTGTTTTATATATGTGTGTTTGAGATTTTTTTTCCTTGGATACTTTTTCTTGAGAATTTTCATCGATTCCATGCGAAAAGAATAAATGAATGGAAAATCTCCACCTCTTATTGCGAAGTATACACAAAAAAATAACTTGACATTTTTTTCTTGTTTCTTAATAATGATGATGATAGTTTTTCTTTATAAACAGTTTTTTCAGTGATGATCATCATTATCATCATCATCATCATGAAATTGATAGAGAGATGATGATGAAATTGGTAAAAAAAATTAATTATTGATTGCCATTATTATTAGGTTCATTTTCAAAGTTTCTAAAATAAAATATCAAAAATTCTTTCCAAATTTTTCATGATAATTCAAGACATTGATTTTTTTTTTGGATATGTGGGTTTCCGTTTAAACATTCCTTATTCTTCACATCACGAATCAAGCATCTCGGATTTTCAAATACAGAGAAAATTTTTCATTTGTTGATGATCATGCATACATGATCTGTTTTAGCAGAATTATGTATTGTTATTTTTGAAAAGTAAATAATAAATCATCATAAAATACACACAAACACAAAACATCAAATACATTCTTTCATGTCTAATTCTTCGGTGTTTGTGTGTGTGTGTATGTCAGGATAAACCTAGAACCAAGAACCAAGAAACAAGGAAACATAGGTTTACAATAAATTTATTTGGAAAAAAGAAAAAAAAATTCGGAAACTAGAATGCTATTCATTATTCTTTACTGTTCAAGGAAAAAGTTCAAAATTGATGATACAAACTCTCGAATGGTCACAAAGTCTTTTGTTTTCTCATTTTTTTCGCTTTTTAGCTTTTTAGCAAAAAAAATTTTTTTGGCAGAGTAAGAAAATAAATCAACTGAATTCAAACAAACAAAACAGGAATTTTTTTTAATAAAAATAAACTCAAAAATTTCAAAAACATACAGAAGCAAGAATAATTTAAAATCAATAAAAGAATTCTCTCGATGACGATGATTATGATGATTCTAAACGAAACCAATACATAACAGAAGAAACAATGTAAATTCAAAATGGAAATTTAATAATTTTCTTTGTTTTCTAATTCTCTAGCAAAAGTTAACAATAACCAGGACTGTTTTCGAACGATAAAAACCACGAACATCTCTTGAGAAAACAAACAACAATCAGAAAAAAAATATTGACACATTTCTTATGACAATAAATCTATGCAAATAAAACTGGGAAAAAAAATTTCGTAATCAATATATATAATGATGATGATTATAAATAGCAATTTTGTGATGAATAAAATTTTTTTTTTTTATAAAATAAATCGAAGCCAAAAAAAGAATCAAATCATTGATTCAATTCAGATTTGATTTGATTATGATCTAATCAAAAAATTGGTTGCCAATTTGTATTAACCAAACACACACACACAAAAAAAAAAACGATTCAAATTTTTATTCTTGCCAAACATCAAACAATAACAAAGCCTGACGTTTAAATTATATTGCATAATATAAACATAATTTGGCAGATGCTTCAAAATAAATTCTTGATTCTTTTTGAAGCTTCATTCTTAGAAGAAATAAAGAATATATCAAATATATATGTCTGTGTATAACATAAGCAATAATAATGTTTATCATTTTGAATGAATGAAATTTTCAATTTTCTTTACTCATCATTTTTACTTTCAATCAATGAATGATATTATTATTGATGCTCATTCACTATGTTTGTGTGTGTGTGTGTGTATTTGTTATTGTTGATTTAACCGGTTATTTATAACCCGGTTACATATAAATAATAAACATTTTCTCAATACTAAAAAAAATGGGAATTTGGCTCGATATCAAATATTTTACATTATATAGTTGAAGTTTTTTTTTGTCCCGGAAATTCAACGAATAGTAATAGTAAAAATAATAAATATCAGCATCTGAACAAACAAACAGAAAATAATTCTACTTACCTAGTAATAAATCCAGATTTTACTGCACGAAATCCAGCACTAGCCAATGGATGACCAAATGTTGGTCCAATCATTGATGAACGATTGAATAAACCTTCACGTTTTTCACGTTGTTCAGTATATTTTCCAAAATTCGATAATGAAATAGCTCGTTTTCCATCGATCATTGTTGTGCTAACATCACTTTCATTTTCATCATCATTATCAACATCATCATCATCATCATCATCAATATCTGTAGATATAGATGATGCGGAAGACGAGGGCGATGATGAAGATGTAGATTTCATCAATGGCGATGGAGTAGTTGATATCATCAATAATTCTTTTGATGGTTTTTCTTTCATTGGTTTCTGCTGTACAGTTGTTTGATTTTCATCCATTAATAAACAATTATTATTATCATTCTTAAAATGATCATCATCATCATCAATTTGATAAGCTCGATTTTCAAAAGCAAATTGCTTATCACCATCATCATTGTGATCGTTGTTGCTGTTATTATTATCGAATATTTTATCATTTTGATTCAATTGATTTGTTCGTTGTACAGAATCCTTTGAATAATTTGAAACAATTACCGTATTATTATTATTATCATCATTAGCGTTTGACTCGATTTCCACTTTAGTTATGAATGTTTGTTTACTGCTGCTATCAGAATCTGTCATACATTGAGTGGCGGTGATTGTTTCATCATGATTTTCCTGAGTTTCATTAGCCATCATCATTATTAGATCATCAACATCATCCCTAGTACATGTGGATGCATCACTTTTTGTTTTTATTATCGATTGATGATGTGCAGTTAATCGTGTAGTTGATCCAGCACAACAAGATGATGTATTTGTTGTTAATGAAGCTGTAACAATGATAAAAACGAAAGCAATAATTTTTCCGGCCGAATGAATATTTGAATTTGTGAATGGGATCAAATTATTTTTATTATGAAAAAAAAAGAAACATACCAGTTTTTGATGCTGAATAATGACGAATCATATTATTGGATGATTTTTTTTTCTGATAGAGATGATGGCTACTACTTTGATGACTTGCTGTCGATAGACTTGATTGATGTTGATGATGATAATAATATGCATTTAATGGTGGTGGTAATGAACCAATAATATGTATATCATTTCCAACAAAATAACGATATGGTGTATCATAATCAACTTCAAGTATTGTTGAAAATTTATTCGGAAATAGAATATCAACAATGGATACGGTTGCACCGATAAAACAGGCTGTTAAACCTATATACAACAAACGAATTCGGAAAAAAATTGAAAAAAAAATTAATTTTTTTCAATAGAAAATGTACCATTATATCTAATAATTTAAATGAAAACAATACATACCAGCGGCAAAAACAAGCCAAAAACACCAACCATATGTGAATATTAATGTTGAACCTTCAAATGGTATACGTAATGGTTTAGATGGTATCATCATAACATATAGTAGATTTGATAGTAACATTAGTAAGCCAGTTAATTGCATCGTATATGCACCATATCTTGGTACGGCACAAAGCAATATATTCATTAATAGCCAGCTTGCAAACGCTAGCCTAAAATTACAAAAAAAAAGGAAATTAAATAGACAATGAGAAAGAAATTGATGATGAGAATAAATTGTGATTGGACTTGATCCATTTGTTTTCATTTTATCGTAATAGATGGATAGTGAAAAATTCTCATCATGTGTTGTTTGTTGTCACAGCAAGAGACAAACAAAATTTAACAACAAATCCCGATCACATCCGGAAAACAAAAGAAAAAAGGAATCTGGGAATTTTTTTTTTTTTTTTTTTGATTCACCAATATCATCATCCATTTTAATATACTTACCATAGTGAAATGCTTGTATAATAACCGGCCAAACGATAATGACGACCCCAATTAAAGCCTTCACCATCTTGGCTTAAATATTCTGAAATGGTCAATATTGGAAATGGTAATCCTTTGGCTAATGCACGTTGAAATTCATGTTTCATTTGATTAGCTTTGTGAAAAAAATAATGAGAAAATAAAAAGAATTAACCATCAAATTGTGGATAATGATAATGATGGAATAACATGGAGAAAAAAAATATATAAAGGGAAAAGTGAAAGAAAGCCAAAATAAATGAAAAAAAAACAAATTTCAATTATAAATGAGTTGTGTATCAATTCTTTTCAATCATCATTATTGTATTTTTACTATTAGTTTTTTTTTGTCCTTAATAAATCGATAAAATTAATAATCACCACCACCACCACAACCACAACCACAACCATTATGGGGAATCGAAAAAAAAAATTTCATTCATCTTTTTCTATTGTTACACTTTATATAAAGCTGATGGAATGAAATTAGAAAAAAAAATTCAAATTAAAATCGTTTCGATTATTCCTGATGTATATATTGTTGGTGTTGTATATATTTGGATTTTGATTTATATTCATATTCCCGATGATATAATCGAAAAGAAGAACTAACAAGAAAAAAATTGATCAAAATATGAATATGATGATTTGGGATATATGCCTTTAAGGCGTCAAAAAAAAAAAAAAGATTTGTTATTCTATTGTCGGTTATTATTAGCATTTGAATTATTTTCCAAAAATTTATATTTTAAATTCACGATATTTCCTACGTAAATATTTCAAGAAAAAAAAACAAAAAATTCCAAGAAAATTTTAATTTTTAAAAAGAAATTTATTCTTTCTTTCAAATGTTTCTTGACGCCAACGTCAAAACAGCCGTTCATCATTATTTCATATACTGAATGATGAAATGAAATCAACAACAAATTGATTGAATTCAATATTGAATCATTTTTCATTCATAAAAGTGGTAAGAAATGGAAAACCGCATGCACAAAAAAAAACTCATCATGTTTGAGGAATATAATTCGTTGATGATTAAATTTAGACGACAAAAAAAGGCAAAACAAAGAAATTGTTTCCTCTGTGTTAATGATCACAGAAAACAAAAAACAAAACAAAAAAAACCTAAAGAGATAAAGATGAAAGAAAATTCTCCATATCTCATGAGACACATGAAATTCTGATTCGTATAATAATAATAATTGACCACCATATATCACACATATGGTCAATTATTTTTGCATCAAATTACAATCATATCATTATGAGAATAATAATATTATATTAAGCGTAAATAAATTCATGGTTCAAGGTTTAACGACAACGACAATTCGATGACAGGTTAATTGTGTCGTTATTATAATATAATTTCTTTTTTTTTTTTGTTGTTGTTGTTGTTTCCAAGGTCAGATTGTCCAATTATTTTTATTCAGTGAAATGAATGAAAAAAAAATTTTTTTTGACAAATTGAATTACACATCATCATCGTTGAATCTTTTCGAATCTATAAAATAATTATTAAATATGAAAGGTTATTATACACAGATGCAAACGATGTTTCGACAATGATTGTGAATGTGTCAAAAGCTGTCTTTATTTCGGGCTAAAAATTTTAATATTTCGCCAAAACTTCAAGATGAAAAAATTTGACATTTGAATAGTAACAATCTGAGAAAATCAAAAAAATATAGAAAAAAAACTTGATCATCCTACACATATAATATAATATAATATATAACATTATTTTATAAATGAAAAAAAGAGAAAGATTCTTTATTTTTCTATGAGTTTTTTTTTGAAAATGATGAATTCAAAATTCCCAATGATGAGCCGCCGTCTAGTGTGTGTGTACATTCATACATCACATTGACGATGACCACAAAACAGCAAAGAATTAATAATGTTCATTAATTAAATTAACAAGAATATTATCTATATATACATTGTAACCTTTTTTTTCTAAAATGAAAAGTGTGAACAGAAAATTTTTTTTTTGCTTGTTTTCAGACAAAACTTTTTTTTGTACAATGCATTAAGTTCATATGATGGATGATGTCATGAAGAAATGATGATTTACATTTTTTTGGAATATAAAAAAAATTGCACAGTTTTTTTCAATGCATCATCATCATCGAAATCGAACCAGAAAAAAATGTTACTATTTTTTTTGGAAAAAAACATACAAGCAAGCTATATAAAAATATGTAGAAGTGGTTGACAACAACCATACAAATTGTGGCCACGTTGTCCGATTTTTTTTGTTTGATTCGATTCCTTAGAATCCTGGCTAAGAATTCGAAGTGAACTTTGTTCAAATTCCATCATCATCATCATCATTGGAATAATTTGTTGAACAAATTTTATTCAATAGAAACTTTTTATTCTTATTACTACTACTATTGAAGATGATGAAAATGTGGTTTTTTTTTTTTATAAAAATAAAAACATTTTTCGCTTTAGGCTAATCAGACAATATGTCGCACACAATTCAAAGTTTCATCATCTTTTTCGTTTATAACATAGCTATTATTTTGTAATTTTTCTTTTTTTTTCTTCCTTCCTTTTTTTACATTCGATTTAACCATTTTATACCAATGTGTAGAATATAGCACTCTCTCGTTCAAATACATTATAAATACATAGATATGGATGCTGTATTGTATCCTGACAAGAATGAATACCGAAAAGCTTTTAAATCATGTTTTTTTTGTTCTTGTCATAATTTTTGTTTCATGCATAAATACACTGAGTGTGTGTGTGTGTGTGTTTGTATGTGTGTATACTAGTCTAACAAAAAAAAAGAAATGGAAAATTTCTCCGTTTCGTAAATCAAAAAAAAAGAAGAAAATACACAGAAACAAGATATAACAATATCAAATCAAACATTTAACTCAACTCAACATTAAAACTCAATTAGAATATATATATATATTGATGGTTGTTGGGTTCAGTTTTGTTTGTTTCGGTGGTTGGTGACCTCAAGTAAAGTCAATTCAACTCAACACAACTCAATTCAATTTCCGTTTGTTTTTTTTAAATTTTACAGATTCTAGTTCAATCATAGCATATATATATAGAGAAACAAATGAACCAGAAAAAAAACAACACGCCCAAAAACACGTAACCCGGAAAACAAATTCAAATACGAAAATGCTTTCAATTGAATAAATCAATGATTCTTGAATATTTTAATTAGTTTGATTTAAATCCAAAAAAAAACCGTACGAAATAAATTCTAATCAAAAAGTGTTTATTTATCAATTGTCGACAACAAAAAAAAAACTTCAAATAGACTAAGTAGTGTGGTGTTTGACAATTTAATTAGTCTACAGTGGTATTTTATATCACAAACGTTCATGTTCTAATCTGCATAATTTTTGCTTGTATAAGTTCTGTTTCCGTTATTCTCTAAACTCTCTACTACTACTACTATTGATGGCAACAAACAATGTCTCATTATCATTATTGAGCAAACAACCAGAATGATTCTTATTATTACATAAACTCGCGCAAAAAACAAACACAATAAATTGCAAATATGTGCGTGAGAAAGCATACATGAATCAACGTGGAAAAAATATACCAAGTTTCATCATCATCATCATCATCATCAACAACTACAACAAAAATACATTTTCACTATGCAAACTAATCATATTCATTCATCAACATTTGATCATCATAATTATATCATAAAATAATGGCCAATGATGACAATGGTCAAATATCGAATAGCAAAAAGACCATAGATACCAATTATATGATAATATCATCATACGATATACAATACATAAATACAAACAAAAGGAAAGAAAAAATTTTGATGACATAACCGACCGATCCGAATGGAACACAAACACACACACACACACACACACACACACACACACACACACACTTTATATTAATGTGGTGTATATCCTGTTTTGTGTGTGTGTGTTTACTGGCCATTAGAATACATATACAGAATATGAATCTTAGTTTTTTTTTCTTGCCAAAAAACGAATAATGTTAATAGCAGCAGCCATAAGGCAAACAAATATAACGTTGAACATGACCAAAGCATTGAATTTAAAAAGAAAGATCATATTTGTTCACCTAATTCTGTTTACTTTTCCTAAGTGGTGCCCATTTATGTATGTGTGTGTGTGTATGAATTTTTTCACTATTATTATTATTATCTATATTCAAGATTCTTATCATCATAGAATATATATGTCGTAGTGCCTAATGCTATTGGTATGGTTTATTTCAAAAATGATGATTTCCATATTTTTCATCATTTCATGGTTGGTTATTTTTTTCGAGAAAAAAAAACCGTTACATATTTTTAGAAAGTGGAAAGATACTTGACTTTTCCCTTTCTTTAGCATCATTTTGTGAAAACATTTATTTGTCCATGTAATAATAATGGCCATTTTATAGTGAGCAAAAAAAAATATGTACATTTTCGTGTTCAAAATGGTCATTGATGATGGTTGTTCAAAACAACATTTAATTTTTTTCCATTTGGCCATATTCATAGAATAATTTCCTGTGCGTCTTATATATACATTGATTACAATAGCCATCCTAATAGAATATGCCAATAATGGTTAATATTGAATTGTTGATATTGACCTCAAACATCAACATCGATGAATGCTAATCACACTAACGTTGTTGATCATTCAAATTTGATATTCGAATCAAAAAAAAAAAAATGGTTTCATATAGACTTGGTTATTTTTTTAAAAGAATCAAATAATCATCACGATGGCTTTATAATAATGGAATAAACAAGGAAAGCAAATAAGGAAAAAAAAGCTTTCATGTTCCAACACACATGGCCCATTTGTCAACAGTAGAAAAAGCATTTTCCATTCACAATTCCAAGATGTCGATCCAAAAAAAGAAGAAATTTCTCAATGCTATTTTGCAGAACGCACACGGAAAAAAGCATTCACTCTCACACACACACACACACAATTTGGTTGTATGAGTTGATAATGATGAATACATATATGACATATGAAGAAAAGAAAAAAAAATATCGATATGGACAAAGAATTTTTGTTTAATAGGAAATAAAGATGTATCTCCATGCCTGTATATCGTGCGTTTCCTTTGTGTGTGTGTGTGTGTGTGTGTGTGTGTGTGTGTGTGTGTGTGTGTGTGTATGCACTATAATAATAATAATAATAAAAAAAAAGTATAACTAATGACCCTTATGGAAATATACATTGCACACATAAACATACACAGTACCCAGAGAATGACACAAGCTTTTTTTTTGTAAGAAATACATCATACTGCTGGACCAAACAAAATATAATAATAAAATAATAAAATAAAAGTAAGATGTGTCATAGCATTTATTTATTTTTTTTTTCATCAAGATGATCTAAACGAAAGAAAGAAAGAAGAAAAAAATTGCAATTTCATTTGCTTGTACATATATATGTATATATATAGATTGATACGATGGTTATATAAATGTAAAATTATTCATAATGACACACACACAAATACACAGTGTTATTGAGGATAGGAAAATTAACTATGAACTTGTTTAGGGTAGTTTGTGTTCCAGAAATACGACGACAACAACAACAAAAAAGAAATTCAATGAAATCATGAAAAAAAAATGAAAATAACGTTGACATTATTATTATACAAGCCAACGCTAACAACAAGAGAAAATAGTACCCAAAAAAAACCAAATTTATGCCAAAGCACAAATAAAAATTGAATATAGATGGAGAATATAAAGTTTTACTATAAATTTGATATTGTGAAATCATTCATCCAGTTTCTTCTTTTACCGATATTTATTCTCTTTGAATATATATAAAAAAACGGTCCAATATCACTGATATTGAAACCATCATCATCGTAATCATCAACAACACTGATGTGATGTATAATAAAATAAAATAACCGAACATATCATTTCTTTTTTCATTCACAATCTGATGATGTTGTAAATATAAGCAAATTTTCTTTTTCTTTTTTTTTATTTTTATTTTTGTTAGTTTATTTGTTACTTATATGATGATATATTTTTTTGCGACACATTTTGAAAACAGAAATTGTTTAGAAAAAAAACTTGGTATTGTCAAAATATTCACTGTTCCCAATGTCCAATAACATTGATGTCGATGAATAAATTAAATTACAGTCACAATTTCATCTTTCTATTAGTTGTTCTTATTGAATCATTCACATACATGCATTATGGAGATTATATCATCGAGATTCAGAGATTGAAAATTTTTTTTTCATTTCATTTTTTCAATATTAAACATTATCAATATAAGATTTTTTTTTCGGTTTTTTCTGTTGTTGTTCCATTGGAATTTTTTTCTGGTAATCATCATAATAAAGAATATAGGAATAAAATAAAATGGAGAGATTGTAAAAAACTGCAAAACATTCCAAATTTTGGCTGAAAATATTAATAATTTACAAAGGATCAAATTGCCACCAATAATTGAATTTATCGAAAAAAACCAATGATGTTGATGATGGAAAGAATTAGCAAGCAATTAGTATGAAATTGAAACAATTTTTTTTCATTATGCAAATGAGTAAAGAATAAAGAAAACAAGAAAACCCTTCATCGGATGAAATATTTTCTTTGCAAATGGCAAAAAAATTCAAAGTTCATTTAAAATTCCAAACAAAAAAAAAACTAGAAAATGATGCCCTTAACAAACAAACCGAAACGAAACAAAACACAAAGCAGAAATATATTTTATACGTTGGTATAATAAAAAAAAATTGGTGAAATGAACAAAACAAACATCAAACGCCATAATAACATATATATGAAATGGAATACAGTGGTTATGGAAAACAGCATGTGATGATGCGACATAGGAAAAAAATAGAGAAAACAATAAGGTTCTTCAGACAAAATGCAGGAATGAAAAAGAGAAAAGATTGTTGGCATAGATGCACACTGAAAATGTAAGTATCATAATTTATCTATTTAATTAATGCAGTAGTGGCATTTGATTGTTTCATTTCTGCATTGAAAACTAGAGTGAAAAGAACCTAATATAAAATTCGGACGAAATATTCGATTTGAGGATTCTCGCCCATTTAATAATAATGCCAACAAACAAAAAGGGCAAATAAATAGAGATCTAAATGTGATAGATAGAGATGAAGAGAAGAGAGAGAAAGAGAGAGAGAGAGAGAGAGTCATAAAGTCATATTATACGTATGTTTCACTGCATTAAATGGATCGGAAATAAAAATAGAAAAAACCAAAAGATGTATATGAATGCCGCAACAGCAACAAGGGCCATCTTTGAATAGGGTTTAAATAAATGTACATTTTGGCTCAACAACAACAACAACAACAACAACAAAAATACTACAGAGATCAAACCTAAATCGTATCTGATGTTTGCAACGAATAGAAAAAAAAGAAGATCCATTCAGTTCCAGAGAAAAAAACGAACTTTCCAAAATAAAAAAGCATCAAATAAATTTGTTGTTGAAATAATTTGCCCAAAAAAAAGCATAAACCATGTTAAAATCTATACAATGTACTATAATCAGCAGACCAGTATAATTCTTTTCGGTTTTATTGTTACAACGATTCTAAATTCACTGTTGCTAATGTTAGACAATCAATGACAATGCAATAACGTATGAAACCAGTCACATCTTGTCATTTATGATTGTTTTTTTTTCAGTGAAAAATATTTGGTTGATGTGTAGCCATGGAATTCTACATTCAGTTATCTCTTTATACGGGTAAATTGTATGTTGATGTTTTTCTTTTAATACAATAATAAATCTCGATAGCCAAACACTGATTGAATGATGTGGATCCAGATGGATAAAACATTTGAATTTCAAATGAAACAAAATAATCACATTCTATTAGGAATAATAATAATAATAATAACCGCTACTGAAAAACGAACAGAAACCGGAAAAGAATTTTTTTTACACGATCAAAATGAATAAAAATAAAAAGTTTCATCATTGTATTTAGTTCCAAACTAAACCCAAGAATAAGTTTAAATAGAACACCAATTTTGATTAATATACATCCAGCTGTGTAGATTGATTAAATTGCTGTGCATGTTTATGTTTTGTGTGTGCATTAACCAAAAAAAAAAATTAAGGATTCCAACCGATCATCAAATGAAAGCAAAGCAAAAAACTCCAGAACAACAACCAAAACTGAATTCAGAGAGACAACAAAAATAGCTTGTTGAATCCACACGAAACATATACATATGCACACAGGAAATTCAACAATGAATGGACATTGGACAATGGATAAGTAAAGTTTTTTTTCAAATAAATAAAATGCTTTTAACTATTTGCAAACTTATGCGTGCAATATGAAAAAAAAACAGAATGAGAAAAAACAATTCAACGTTATTATCAATACAAAAAAAGTCTTGTTGTCAATTCTAATAATCAAAATCAGAAAAGAAAAAAAACAACAAATATCGATTTGGATCAAAACAACAACGACAACGAACAAAATTGGTTCGAGGCTTTTTTTTGTGTCTCTATCGCTCTCTATATGAGAGCTTGGTGATTGTATGATTGATTCAATTCTGTTTTTTTGATATTTTCTCTTTATTCTTATTTTGTTTATGCAAAAAAAAAATATTCATTCAAATTTCAGATTCTCCCTATGATGTCTGTCGTCTATTCAATCAAAATAAAAACGGTTTATATTGGCAAAAGATAGATAGAGAGAGAGAGAATAACAATGTGCTTCATGGTTGGATCGATTGACAAGGAAAACCGACAAACAATTGCCAACCAGTCAGTCAGCAATCATTGAATCAACTTATAGACAATTCTTCAGACAACAACAACAAAATCAGAATTGAATCTCAATTTTTTTTCCATAACAGAATCGCTGCTAGGTTTTTTTTGAAGTACAACATTAGCAATGTAGAATTATATGGCTATAATAGGAAAATCTTTTCAGATTTTAGCAAAACAAAAAAAATTATTATAGTTTATATTGGAATTAGGAAGCCTATCATCATCATCATAATGAAGGATTTTTAAATGTATCTTTCTATTTATTCATATGGAAGTGCGAGAGAGAGAAAAAAAATTCGTGCTCATGGTGTGAATGCACATGAAAAATGTTTTAAAATAAATTTTAATTTTTTTTTCCAACTTTTGATCGCTCGGTTGAATAATAAACTAAACAAACGATAAATTTTTATTTTGCGTTGTGAATCCATTTTTTTCAGGGCAGAAAAAAAACGAACAAAACCATCGAATAGGAAAATGAACAAAGTCAATTTTTTTTGCATGTTTTCGATAGAAAACTTTGATGGAATCACTATTTCTTTCAATATATATCTTGTATAATAATAATAATAATAATCACAACAACGACAAAGCCTTAATATAAACACAAATAATGGCAATATGAATTCATTTCGTCAGTCTTGATGATGATATTGATGGAAACGAAATTTCTTTTCCTGTTTATATGAAAGAAAAAAAAATTCAGATTTGATGATGATGAGAAAGGAAAAGAGAAAACTTTGCATCAAACACAACTAGATATTTTCTGTTGTTGAAGAATTTGAAATTTCTCTCTCTCTCTCTCTCTCTCTCAATCTTTTTCGCTAGAAACATTGTGTTTATAATAATATATTTAGCTATGGTTATGCAAAAATTATTATTCAAATTCATGTCTAGAATATAATCAACAATAAAAAGAACGTTAGACAACAACAATCTCCTCTATTCTGTCATATAGTGGGACCTATTGGTTAAATATGCTAATTTCATTTTTTTTTGTTTTTCACTGATTTTGACTGAAAGTTTCTCTACACTACACTGTGTTTGTGTTTCAAAATAACAGGGCGGAGAAATAAAGTTTTAGATTCACAGATATATTGACAGTATATAATGAACCAGAAAAATGGAATCAAGAATATGGATCTGAATTAAATTTGAGATTTATGAAGAAGAAGGAGAAGAAGAAAAAAAAGAGGAAATAAAAATTTACAAAAAAAAAAAACAAAGAATTACTTACCACCAATCCAATAGAAACGTTCGTTATAGTTAATTTCTTCATGCTGTTGATGTATAGGTAGTGCTGACGTGAATCGGAATAGAAAATTTATGAAATTTTCAAAATTTAATAATTTTTCTCATGATAAAAAAAATATTCAAATACCTTTTAATGTAATATTGACACTATCCAAACCGATATATACACCAACATTAGCATAGATTTTTTCTTTGGAAAAGGCACGATACGGTCCAGCGATCGATCCTTTTGCTACATGCCAATTTGATCCACAATTTGAAACTATTATAAGATGGTGAAAACAGTATTTGATTATTATCTTGAATTTATTCTATAAAATGACATAAAACACTTACTTAAAATAACGGCACCAATGAATAAACTGGTCGTTACACATATAAATGTTGAAACACGCTATAGAATAATGGACAAAAGGAAACCAAGGATTATTATCAACATTGAATCAATCGATATATAAATATAAATAAATAGATTAATCATTTAAGGGAAAAAAATTGTCATTTCTGTAAAAACTTGTTAAAATGTCATTGTTGTTGTCAATTAAAAATTTCCAGATGTTTCCAATCGTTTACTGTTCATTATACACCGTCAATATTGTAAAGGATATCGACCTTTCATTTTTTTTTCTCATTCATTTCTACGACACTGAAAATTGTCATTTAATATCATCATCATCATCATCATCATCAAAATAATACCCTGGATATACATGTCTTGTCGAATTGAAAAACATAATTCAATGTAATGTGTAATGAATTGCAATGTTTTTTTTCAAATGAAAAATATGATATATATATAAACATCATAAATGAAATAAAATAAAATAGAATAAGAATGTATATGAAACCTATTTGATGTGTGTGTGTGTGTGTGTGTGTGTGTGTGTGTTCAATAGGGGATGGCTCAAATTGATTGATGCCAATATATCGAATAAATTTATTACTATTATTATAATAATAATATAATGGATATCACTACTATCTCTCTCTCTCTCTCTTTACATTTTGCAAAGTTTCATTTTTCTTTGTCGTTTTAACTATGTTTGTCCGTTTGTTTCTGTTGTATAAAATTCATGTGAGATCCATATAAACAAGCCATTGGAGACAGACAAAGACAACATTTGTTGTATTATTTTGGTATTGAATCCCGTTTCACAAGTTGATAAATGATAAATGATCCACATACACACACACTTTCATGCCATATATACAAACAAACAGCAATTGCAACAATGTTGACATCGATCATGGTCTTTGCACTTTTTGTTGTTGTTGTTGTTGTTCACATTGTGATATGTGTTTTATTATTGTTGTTGTTTCAAATAGTTTTCATACATTTTTTTTCTCGTTTTTTTGATCAACGAAAAGAAAAAAACTATCAATGAATCGATCATAAAATGAATGTCATGATAAAATATATTCCGTATTCTTATTATTATAGATAGAACAAATGAATAAAATTTGATCAGATCGAATGAAAAGATGATGATGACAATTAGTTAATAGTTTATTATATATTATGAGAATGATGATCATCCTGAATGTATTGGCTCGTCTATTTGATGATAGGCAATGGATACAAATTGATGATGGCCATGTTTGTTCTCTTTTTTTTGTTCTCTCTTTTCCTATTCTTAATGACATTCGGCCAACAAATAACAAACAAACTTATACAATAAACAAGATATAGAGAAAGATATGTATTTCATGTGAACAACACCAATTTTTATATATATAAAAACAATATTGAACACGACAACATCATTTCTGTTTTCTATTTCTCGATTGATTAATGGAAAAACTGAACAACAACAGTAATAAATAAAGCAAAAAGTTTTATTGATGGACATCATTTCAACGAATCGAATCTGTATGTGTGTGTGTAATCATCAATATTAGAACTGAAGTTTTTTTTTCGTAGAAAATAATTTTACCCTGTAGTAAAGACATGACAATTATAATTAGATAAATTTGAAAAGCAAATCGATAATAGAACAATGAATTTCGTACTTATTAATTAATGAATGTATATCTGTGTTTTTATGTAAAATTCAATGAATAATAAATAAACAAAATTAGGCAAAAAAAGAATGTAAACTTTGATAAAACTGGAAAAATAAAAGTACTTTTTCTACTGATATAAAAGAAAAAAAGTCAAAGACCAAAATTAATAACTAAAGTATATGGATCACCCTAGATGACCAGAAAAAGATTTTTTCAGGAAAAAGAAAAAAAAATTATCACCAATATATATAATAACCATAAATAGGATAGAATAAATGAAATAGCAGCCAATTTCATAAGCCTATCAAGAATCATTCATTTCATCTATAATGACTTTAACCAAATATTATATAATAGGAACAGAAAATACTACCAAGATTTTCACATAAATTCTGAACCTGAAAGTTCAGCCAAAGAATGAATAGAAAAAAAAAGAAAAACTCGGGTTATTAATGATTGATGATTAAAAACACGACGAATGTATCTTATGTTTTCCAAAGAATTTCTAAAGAAACTAACATTGTCCGATCTCAATTCAATGGCCTATGGGGCATGTTATTTTTTTTCATCACAAGTTTTAAAATACAAAAAGAAAAACAACAACAAAAAAAATGAAATATTCAATGATAGCGATTCTCAAAAAAAAAATCTATGAAGCAGGCCATTACTAAACCATCATCAAGAGAGAGAGAAAAAAATGGATCGAAAAAAAAGAAACTAAGTATAAAAAAAAATAAAAGCAATAAGTAAAAAGAAACTAAATCAGATTTTCCTGCGGATAAAGAGGAAGCAAAAGACAATATAGGATACTCGAACAAACCAAGACGAAGGCAACAAAAAAAACAAGGAATCTGAAAATCTTTTCAGAACAACGAGAATTCAAAGTTAAAGCAAAAAAAAAAAAAAAAAATCAACACATAAAAGTGAAAGTCAAAGTGTGTCAAACCTTGAAAAATAAAAGTACTTTTTCTACTGATATAAAAGAAAAAAGTCAAAGACCAAAATTAATAACTAAAGTATATGGATCACCCTAGATGACCAGAAAAAGATTTTTTCAGGAAAAAGAAAAAAAAATTATCACCAATATATATATAATAACCATAAATAGGATAGAATAAATGAAATAGCAGCCAATTTCATAAGCCTATCAAGAACCATTCATTTCATCTATAATGACTTTAACCAAATATTATATAATAGGAACAGAAAATACTACCAAGATTTTCACATAAATTCTGAACCTGAAAGTTCAGCCAAAGAATGAATAGAAAAAGAAAAAGAAAAACTCGGGTTATTAATGATTGATGATTAAAAACACGACGAATGGATCTTATGTTTTCCAAAGAATTTCTAAAGAAACTAACATTGTCCGATCTCAATTCAATGGCCTATGGGGCATGTTATTTTTTTTTCATCACAAGTTTTAAAATACAAAAAGAAAAACAACAACAACAAAAAAAATGAAATATTCAATGATAGTGATTCTCCAAAAAAAATCTATGAAGCAGGCCATTACTAAAGAGAGAAAAAAAATGGATCGAAAAAAAGAAACTAAGTATAAAAAAAAAATAAAAGCAATAAGTAAAAAGAAACTAAATCAGATTTTCCTGCGGATAAAGAGGAAGCAAAAGACAATATAGGATACTCGAACAAACCAAGACGAAGGCAACAAAAAAAACAAGGAATCTGAAAATCTTTTCAGAACAACGAGAATTCAAAGTTAAAGCAAAAAAAAAAATCAACACATAAAAGTGAAAGTCAAAGTGTGTCAAACCTTCCACATACACACCACATAAATGGCATAATCGAATAGAAAGGAAATTTTCACAATTTTAAATTAATAATGATGGTTACAATTTTTCGTTTATTATTATTCACGTAATAATAAATCATTAAATTTGACTATGAAAATGACGTATCGTTATATATATGTGTGTAGATCATATAAGTACATTTACAATTTGAAATACGTTCATTTGAGACATATCAAATGATTGGATGATGTATACATGAATGAATGAATGAATAAAAAAATTCTGGACAAAATTTTGCAGTTTTTTTTTCATCAAAGGAATTCATTTTGATTCATTGTTGTTGTTGTTGTTGATTTTTTTTGTGGTGGAAAAAAATTGAAAAAGTGATTGAATTTCATACCAAATGAAGTAATTATAAAACACATACAATGTAAAATCTTGGCAATTTAATATCTCTCAAAAATGAAAATCTTTAATAAATTTCATTTTTTTTTGCAAGTTTTTCTGTCTTGAATTGATGTGTGTTACATTAACAATTATGATCTTTATTTATGGAATCAAATAATAAATTATATATTATAAATTATAAGTATTAAAAATGAATTACATACCAATCGCTGGTATCATTTAAATTAACAAAAAATCAATTAATTTTACAAACAAAACAAAACTCAAGCAAAACGCACGTGGTATTTTTCTCTAATGCGAATACATACAGCATTATTTGTAACGTTCATATATATCGTTCAGTTACAGATGTGTGTGAATATTTCTTAAAATTTTCTAAAATACTGAAATGCATCTAAACTCTTTCCATAAAATTTTCTGATAAATTAATCAATTAATTTTCATTTCAATTAATTAAAATTAATTTTTTTTGCTAATTTTCAATTAAAACAATCCCCACAACATCATTGAGTTTCACATTTTTATTTTAATGATTATTTTTCTCAAATGTGAATATTGTGTTGTTTTATATATAAATTCATTGGTTGAAATTGGTAAGAAAAAGAAATTTCACTATTTATCAAATGTTGTCTATCTTTTATTGTTATTAGCAAAAATAAATTAAATTGTACGATTGGAAATGAATTTTTTGTTTTGTTTTCGAACAATGAATGTTTGTTCTAAATAATGCATTTGTGTATTTTGATGATGATGATGATCATCATCATCATCATGAATACTAATAAAAAGTTTTTTGGGTTCGTTTCAATATTAAATGAAAATTTATAAATATAAATTTTATCAGTGAACAATAAATTTATAGACAAATTTAATGATATAATCTATAAAATATGTCCATATATATCTACGTGTATGTGTATGTAATAATAATAACTGTTGAAAGAAGATGCAAATATCAATTTAGATGACGAGAATTGAAACAGAAGAATAAAAATTTAGGGAAAAAAATATTTTCTCTTTATGTGTGTTAATATGATGATGATGATGAACAAATATTGCAAAATTGGGACATACAGATACAAAAACAAAAACTGACTCTCTATCCTAACCAAATTTTTTTGGTTATTATTATGTCTGTGTAAACGGGAAAAATAATAAAATTTTATTAGTCCAAAGTTTCAACCTAAGCAATTGTTTGTGTGTGTTGAGAGAATTCACTGTATTCATTTGGTCTGGGAATCTAGTTTATATTGTTTCATGGTTGGTTATATAAATTCAAATGATTGTATTTGTTGTTGTTTCTGGATATATTTATGGATGTGTGTCTACCAACAGCCAGAAACAGAAAGTGGAAAAAATTTCATTTAGTTTTAAAGCTTCATTAGAAATTATATCTGATTGTTTTTTTTTTTTTTTTTTTTGTTCAAATAGTTAGTTAGTCTTTAGCCAAACAAACAACAACGGAATTTGTCTGAAAACAACTGAAAACATCAATATTGTTGTTGCAATAATGTTATAAAGAATTCAAACAAACAACATTAGGATCACAATACTGCACACCAAGTGTATGTATTATTTGTAAATGTTTTTACACTGTTTTTCTTCGATTCATTCAACGTTATTGAGTTTTCTTTTCCTATATTTATCCAGAAAGAAATTCATTCAAATTTAACAAATTTGTTAATGCAACGGATTCATTCACTATCATTCTATCTCTGTATTTCATGTACAAATCTGTAAAAAAAACTAAACTAGTTTAAAGGAGACAGAGAAGGACGCTTGAAAATGTTTCAAAACTGGACAAAAACGAATAATATATCCCAATGTATAAAGTGTTGTATAATTAAATTTTGGTCATTTTCTTTTATTCTTTAAGAAAAAAAACAAGACAAAATAAAATGTCCAAATCTTTGTGAATAAAACATACATTCGGATGAAATTGTTATTATACAACACAAATAACAACAACAACAACGACAACAACAACAATGAATGGGAAATCATAATAATAAACATTGGCATTTTCGTATTTGAAAAAAAAACAAATTTTCCTAATTCTTTCAATGTTTAATTGTTATGATTATTGTTGAGATTCTTGAAATTATATATTTTCAGAATAATAACAATAAAATTGTTCAAAACAAGTTATACAACATACCTCTTTACGAATTCCAGGAAAAATGATTAGAAATGCAACAAAAAATGTTGTAAAACTAATGTAAATCAGAATATTACGTATATCTTCAATGGCAGCCGTACGATTCATTGATGAATATAATATTGGACCACCATTATCTTGGAATGCATCAAACCAATTGGCACCAATATTCACTAGATCAGGTGATGGTGACGACATTTTTTTTATTTACAATATTAATGAAATGATGAAAAGATCAAGATAGATTTGAGTGTAATGATTGATGAGAATGTTGATTGTTGAACCAAATGAATCACAAAACAATAAAACGTTGAAAGAAAGTTTCAATGCCTGTAATGAAAGATAACGGGAAAAAAAATTCAAAAAAATTATTAGATATAATCATGAGACAATCGAAACAAAAATCATATATTTGAATGAGGAAAAAAAATTCAAATTGAAATTATTAACCATGTCAAATGACGAGATGTTAGTTCCAAATCAATATTTTAAACATTGATAATTTTTATTTGAATTCAGATCATAACCTGAACAAAAACTGAAAAGAAACTTTTTTTTTGATGATGAGGATGATGACATGACAGGCCAACTATGAAATTATCATCATTATCATCATCATTACATTCATCGAATGACAATCAAATCAATAATTAATCTAATCTAATGATATTTACTGATCATTTCATTTAAAGACAAAACAACCCAATAACTGGTTTGAAATCAGAAAAAAAAGTCAAAATTAATTTTAAAATGTTTATAATAATGGTTAAAAAATTGATGATGATGATGATGAGAAACAAACTAGTTTAGTTCAGTGATTTGGATTGATCGTTTCTGGTTTTCAAAAGGTGTGTGTGTGTGTGTTTTATTAAAGCAACTGTGTAATAATGATGATAAACTAATCAGGTAATAAGGATTTGATGCAATTGAAATGAGAGAAATAATGATGTTTTAGTCGCACGCACACACACACACACACACACTCTCTCTCTCTCGGATAATTTTGCTTTTTTTTCTTATTTTTCGTCAATTTATCATGCAAGCTATTTCTGCAACTAATAATAATTTCCTCCAAACATTTTCTCTCAAATTTTTTTCCTTTTCCTTTTTTTTCTATTTCTCATCACTAATAAAAAATATTGAATATGATAGATATATAAATATCTGGGAAACAATTCATTTAAATTTTGGTTTTTTTTCTGATTGCAAACCACCAGCACTGAACAAAATACACACAAAATGACAATGCAAATGTTGTTTCACAAGTAAAAGACAAAAAAAAAATTGTCAATTTTTTTTCTGACAATCATCAGATCGGAAATTGTCATTATTTTCATCGTTTTTGTTCGTCTTAGATATATTATTGTATGCAGTTGCGTTTGTTTCAATCATCATGAATATGATTTATCAAGGTTTTCATCGTTAGAAAAAAAAACAATCTGGATATATGTTTTTTTCTCTCTTTCCTTTTTTTTCCTAATTATTAAAATATTCATTGTTAATCATGGATCAAGAGACATAAACATTTTGTGTCATTGATTGCTTGTTATTTATTGATTTAGTTGTTGCTAAAAATAAAAACAAAAAAAAACGGAACTGACAATTTTTAGTTTTTGTCATTTTCAATTTTACAATTTTTTTCTTTTTTTTTTAACGTTTTGTTTTATTTTTCTTCATCATCATCATCAACATCATCATCATCATTATTATTGTCGTTGTTCATGCGATGAGACCTTCTAATGCCAATGAGATTGGCTGTGTTTCATTTTATTTTTTTTTCTCTCCAATCATCATTTTGTTTGGTTTCACACTTTTCAATTTCTACAGAAAAAATAAAATAAAATAAAACATAACCACCAATCAATTGTAACGATTGACAGATGTTGCTGCTACAAAGAGTAATAATAAACCAGAATAAATAGTACAAAAAAAAAGAAAGATTAGCGGTTTTGACTTTGAACCAAAAAAAAAACCACCTCTCACCCAAACAACAGCAAACAAAACAAAACAAAACAAAATAAAAAAAATAGAAAATTCAACCAATCAACACTATAGATTTATTATTGGCCTTTTTAGATTTTTCGGTTGAATGATTCATTCATTTTCATTTTGTTTTAGTTAGTTACAGTTATTTAGAAATTGATTCATTTCAAATGACGATGGTCGTACTGACATAGCGCCCCCCCCAAAAAAAAGAAACATTACAATCAATAAATTTCGATTTAGAAATAAAAACATTTCATTTCATATATACAGAGCTTATATATAAAAGCAAACAAGAAAAAAATCAGATACAATTCTTTTTTGGTTGATAAAAAAAATTCATTCATTTTTCACTGTGTTTCAATCGTATACGAAATAAAAAGTTCAACCATTTGAATTGACCAATTATAATAGCATAAGATGATGGTGATTAAGATGGAAAATCAAACAAAAAAAATAACAATGAGAAAATCCAACAACAGAACCAAAAAAAGGGTTAATCAATCAATCTTTTGTGTGCAATCGATGTGTGCAATCATCAACAGCAATATTATTGTAAAATTGAATTGAAAAAAAATCGATCAATCTTTGTTTGATTGTTTTTTTGTTTCTGTCAGAAACAAAAAAAAAAAGAAAAAGAACAAGAATGACCAAGAAAAAAAACAGAATCGAATGATTAATTAAAAAAAATTCAAAAAATCAAAATATATTTACCATTCAAATCATTAAGAAATACAAAAAAAAACAATTTCCAAGATAAAAACCGTTTTGAAAACCAAAACGTTTTGGAACACACACATACACACACACCCACACACACACAATTGAAACAGATGCACTAAGAAATCAGAGAAAAAATGGGTGAATTCACTTTAATAAAGCGAGAAAAGACGAACGTTTTTTTTGGAAATTTTCAAATAAATAAATTATTGAAAAAAACCCACAAACAAATGATGATGATTATGTGTATGTCTGTTCAATACAAACATACACACACACACAATCAATCGATTGAAAATTAAAGAAAAAAGATTCTTTAAAAAAATTTCCTGCATGGAAAACCACAAACAAACTGATCTTCAATGTACAATGATTCGATGACAAATGATGATGATCATCATCTTCGATTCGTTTTTTCCCTCTCTCTTCGATTCAATTTAATCCATCACAAAACGATGATAATAATAATAATAATAATAATAATGATGATGATGATGATGATTGGACATTAGACATCCACAAAAATCAAACACATACATAGAAATGGTCATTCCAAATATTGAATCATATCTATCCACCGAATGTATATTATATTCATTCGGTTCATCTTTTCTCTCTCTCTCTTTCTCTTTCTGTGTGCATGTATTATTTATCCTATGTTGTTGCTGTAAAGTTAAGGAAATAAGACCTCGAATATCTTCCGAGTGATTTTAGTTTTTTACACATTCATATTTCTCATTCACCTTAAACACACACACACACACACATTCACAATCTCTCAATGTCGATGTTCATATTGATAGAAAGGTTACAAATTTTTCATTGAAAATAAATTTCAACAATTTTCTATCCATTCTATAATTCATTGTGATGTAATGATGATGATGATGATGATGATGGTCATTCTCATAAGTAATAATCGTCATCACCTTTATATATTCACATAATGATGGTGATGGACAATTTTTTTTTTGACAATGTCGAATTGAAGGAAGAATGAGAATCAAGGATTCAGCAAACAAACAAAACATGAAAAAACGGATCAAAGTCATCGGAGAAAGAGAGAGAGAGAGTGATGAATGTTGTTTGTTTGGAGATTCAGAAATCAACAACAATTTTTTTCAAGGTAATCAATTTTCAAATAAAGGAATGAAATAAATCAATGAATAAAGTCAATGATGATGATATCATAATAAAAAAAAAATAAAATTCAACAATAAATGACACTGAATAATCAATGTCATCATGAAGATAATCGATAGCAGACACATGCACACACACACACATGACTTTTTCACAAAAAAAATTCGAACTTGAACATACAGGACTCATAGACAAAAAAAACATGTAATAACATAGCGATTATTCAACATTGAATTATCATTATCATCCTCATTATTATTATTATGTGATAAAGAACAAAAAATCTCATGATTTTTTACTTTTTCAAAGACTTTTTTTATATTATACTATATATAATGCAATTAAGAGATGTTATTGATCTTCAGCAGCAGGAGCAGCAGCAATGATGTTCCATAATAATTGTTCCATGATGATGATAATCATAAAAAACTTTTTCTTTGATATTTGAAAATGAAGGTAACAAAATGGAGAAGATTTCCATTGTCATGACATTTTGTTTTTAAAGTAACAAATTTTTTTTCTCTTGTATCCTCAACAGCAATTTATGTCATTCAAAATCAATAAATCGATAGATTCATTGATTTTTGTTGTTGTTGTTGTTGTTGTCGTTTCTGTTGTCAACATTTTTGTTTTGTTTTTATGTGAAAAAATGTTTGCTTGTTTTTTTTTCAAACCAAACATTATGGTCAATGTACGATAATGTTATTGGTTTCTAAAGAAGAACCTTGTTGTTTTTGTTGATTATGGCCATCAACATTTTTGATAAAATAAACAGGAGAAAAAAATTAAAATCTTTTAAACCATAATGATGCATGTAAGCATCAAATAAACATATTCACTGTGTTTTTGTCATCCAAAACAAATTTTTTTTTGTTTTAAAAAAAAATTATTAAGAAATGTTGAAAATTGAAAAAAGTAATAATAACTTCAATTAAGATATACTTATGGAAAATCCGAAAGAATTTGTTGCTGTAAACAACAACAGCAACGAAAAAATCAAATCAACAATCATCGAATCAACAAAAAAAAAAAATGATGATTAGGAATTTCTGGTTCAAAGTTCTCATAATTATTGATTTTTTAAAAAGTGTTTTTTTCTTAATTGAAAAAAATTGAAATTTTTTTTCTCGTTGTTTTTCAGAAATAAACACTGAGAATTTTAATCGATTTTAATTATTCCAAAATTTTACTGAAACCCCCTCCTTCCAAAAAAAAAAAAAAATTCAATCTTTGAATCGATCTATTTAAAAATGATAAGAAAATCAAGATGAAGAATGAATTCAAACCTTTTTTTTTTTTTTTTCAAATCAATGCATAAAAAATATGTTCCCCATCATCGCCATCATCATCAAGGACAGAAATTATTTTTTTTTTCAATTTCAATGATAATGATTTCATGATGCTAACACACACACATAATCATCTTTTCCATGAACAGTAAAAGACATTCAAAGACAATAAATATGATGATGATAATGCGAACCAATTTTTTTTGCATAAATCACAAGGACCGTTTCCAACTTGTAGCAAGGTCTACAACTAATTCAACAATGGTAGTGATGCAAATGAGTTTTGTCGCCTTGAAAAACGAACCCTCGTTTGAGAATCAACAGTATTTTTGTTCATTATCA